GCTCAGGTGCGCAACCAGTGGCTGGGGGTCAGACCCGCTTGCACGCAGGTCACCTGCTCCTGCCACTCACCAGTGGTGTGACCCGGGAGCACACTGAACCCCGCGGGTTTCTGTCCTGTCCTCCCGAGGGGAGCGTCTGTCAGGGCACCACCCCCCAGAGCAGAAAGGATTAAGTCAGGATTAAAATTTGTGAAGTGCCCCAAAGAGGCCTGACCCCCGGCTCGGTGCGAGCCCCCCTCCCGCCGCCCGGCCCGCGCCCCGGGCCTCTGTCCCCGGCGCTGAGAGAGGCCGGGCGGAGCCGGGGGGAGCGCGGGCGCCTCCCGGCCCGGGGCGGGCAGAGTCAGGACGCAGAGGTTTGGTCGGCCCCTGGAGCCGCGGGGTCTGCCCGACATCTCCAGGCTTAAATAACCGTGCGCCTTTGTTATTCGTCGGCAGCAAAGTGGTTCGTTACGCCTGATTGGTCTAATTGCTTTGAAATGGGATATATTATCTATAATTATAGAGCTCGAGGAGGAGCCGGCCGGCCTCCTCTTTCATCTTCCCCAAGTGCACCCTCATGTCGCGATCACATTAATTTGGGCCATTTGGGGGAGGGGGCTTTCTCTCCCGCGGATCGAGGCTCCCTCACCCCCTTCCGATTGGAAAGACACAAGGAAGCCCCGGCGGGGAGAGGCGGGCGGCCGTGGGGGCGGGGCGGGAGGCCGCGGGGTCCGCGCGGGGCGCGCGGGCTCCCCGGCGCCGGGTGACCTCCGCCGGCCCGCGCGCCCCCCGGCGAGCTGGGCCCTCTTCTGCGGGGGAATTATCCAGAAGGAGAACGCGCTCCTACAAATCGGTTTCTGGGGTTTGTTTGTTTTCGCGTTCGCGTCCAGGGGCACTAAAACTCTTGCCGCGCTGGGCCTGCGGGGTCCCGGGTGTGCGCTCCCGCGCGCGCTGGTGCTGAGCCTCGCCGCCCAGGAGTCCCCGGCGTTTCCAGCTCTTCCAGGTTTTTCTGTGGGAAGCGGCGAGCCCATCAGCACCCCCAGACAGTCTCCAAGCCTCTGACTCCCCCGCTCACTTTCAGGCGACTGAGACCAAAAGGCTGGAGCGCGCAGGAACCGGAGGCCCCCTCCGCGGGTCGGGGGATCTCGAGGTCGTGCTTTCTGTTTACCAGTCAACCCCCCTCCCCCCAGGACAAAATACCTCCTCTCTTTCCCCTCCTCCGCCCTCCTGGAGATGGGTGAATTCCCACCAAAATAAATCGTTCCGGGTAATCGGTTTTCATAGCACATTCATTCTATTAAAGAGGACTGTTTGGAGCTCGCTAATTGCCGGGGGAGCCCACTGAGCTGCACATTTTTTAAAATGCACGCGGGATTCCTGGGTCGAGGCCACAAATGCATTGGAAAGAGGGGGAGGGGCATAAACAAAAACCCGACGAGGCGACAGCGAACGCCGAAGTGAGGGGCCCCGGGAGCTGAGGCTCCCCCGGCCCCGGCCCCGGCGCAGCGCCCGCGGCGACAGCGGCCTTTCAGCGGGCCCTCTCGGAGCCAGTCTTTGCCCACCGGGGGAGGCTAAAAACACCCCTCTTTCTGCGTGAAATAGACGGTTTTTTGGGAAAAAAAAAAAAAAAACAACCACCAAGAGCCACGGCTTTGGCTGTCCCAGCAGGAGACGCGGGGCAGTGCTCCCCGGGAGCCCGACGCCCGGCGCTGCCGCGAGGCTGGGAGCGCTCAGGCTGCGGGGGGCGGGAGAGGGACCCCGCGGGCGGGGAGGGGGCCGCGGGGCGAGGGCGCGAGCCGGGCGCGGGTCCCGGAGCTTTATCTGCCGCGGGCCGCGCCCGCCCTTGCCAGGCGTGAGTTACAGCCCCGCGCTCTGCGCCGCCGCGCGCGAGGAGGCCCGGGCCGGAGCGCCTGGGGAGGTGCTGGCGGCGAGATAACAGACGCAGCCGGGCCGGGGGAGCGGTCGGAACCCGCCGCCGCGACACCCGAAAAGGCTCCGACAGAAATAACCCGGGAGCACTCCCTCCTGCGGCCCCAGCCGCGCGCCTCTCTCCCGCGGGACCAGCACGCCCCGGAGACAGACACTTTCTTTTTCGAACCCCCCTGTCTGAGGCCTCCGGCATCTTTCCCACCCCCTGCAGCCCCGAGGCTAGGGGAGCCCCGCGCCCCTCGGAGCGCCGGTTCCCCGCGGACTCGACTCTGAACCCCTTCCCTGTGCAGGCACCCCTCGCGGGGCCACGCGCGCCTGGCTACCCCGCCGCGCCTGGCGACAGCGGACACGAACTCACACCGAACCTTAAAAGATGCCACCGGGTTCGGGGCGGCTCGGGGGCCGGGGGGCGGGCTGCAGGGCCGGGGGCTGCGGGCGCAGGCGGCCTGCTCCCTGGAGGCGGGGGCGCGACTTCAAGGGCCCCTGCGCCGGCTGCAGCCTTTGATCCGGCCGCCTCTGGCGCCTAAAAACAACATCCTCGGCTGCCTATTAGGCGCTGAGGGATCGTGACAGATTGTTTATCCCGCAATTAGCGATGCGGCCCTTCTCCCGCCGCCCGGCCGCCGGCCCCGCGGTCACCGGCCTTGCTGCGCGCGTCCAAGCCCCGACAGCCCCGGGTCCCCTCTGCGCAGCGCGGCTCGCCCTAGGGTTCCTCCCCAAAGCAGGGGTTCTTGCCCAGACCGCCTCCAAGTGGGTCCCAAGCCCGTTTTTGCTGACGTGCACTTTTCTAGGGAGGAAGTTATTAAGTCAATCAGATGCTCAAGGTGATCCGGGAGCCAAACATTTCGAGATTGGAAACCTGGCGAAACAAAGCAAGGCCGGCTCCAGGGACTCCACGGAGACTTTTTAAATGACCTCAGAAGCTCATGGACCTCCACCCGCCTCCCGCTTTCACCCGGGAGTTGAATGCCCTCGGGTTGGGATGTGGGGGAACTTGTTCGGGCAGTTTAATTGGAAAGGTGACAGGCGGGGTTGCACCCCGGCAGGACGGCTGGCTCGGTGTAGGGCCTGTGCTCCCCAAGCGTCAGTTGCTCAGCTGCAAAATGGGGATGGGCCGCCTTCTGTCTTAGACCCTCAGGCAAGCCTCGGGGTCTCAGTTTCCCTGACACGAGGACGGACTCGTGGGTCCTGTGCGCCTCCCCCAGGGGTGCGGTGCTTTGAAGACAGGCGCCCGCGAGGCCTCCAGCTGAGCCCGACCCGAGCTAGAGGCCCCGCACCCTGCCCTGGCTTGAGACGCCTTCTCGGGTGCACAGGAAACCCGGAGAGGCCGCGGGAATGCCGCAAGGGCGAGTATTCCCGAGCCCGCCCAGAGGCCTTCACCTCTCCCCCGAGCCTGTGGGCACATGTGAACCTGCGGGGGACCCTGGGGCCGCAGCCCGACCCCTCCCGCCCTGCCAGACCCCGGACGCCATCCTGGTCGTAAAGTTGCCGCTCTAGTAATTCATTTTCCTTAATCTGGACACCCCTAATCTACGCTTTTTATTGCGCCCAGTTAAAAGGCGAGGGAATTCGCTGTCCCTCCGCGCTTGGATAATTACCCCTAAATGGCCGCGGCAGCCCCTGGTGTTTCCTGGAGATTAGAACCCCGCAGTCATCAGCGGCCGGCGGGTGAGCCGCCCACCACCTCCGCTAGCCCCCCTAGAGCCGGCCGCCTGGGCCCCGGCGGGATAGGAAGCCAGAAAGAGGGGGCGCAGAAAACCGCGGAGCCCCAAGCCGGCTCGCACTGGCATCTCCCCGCGCCCCAACTCATGTTTGTCTGAACAGCAAAATTAAAAATCACGTTTCCCCCGAAAGTGGGAAAATAAAAGTTTCCAAGCCCGGCACCACCGAGGACCCAGCGCCAGGACTCGGCTCCCTCCCCCCAAGGTGCCAGCCCCTCCGGAGCGGGGACCCGAGAGAGGGGGTGTTATTGTTCCCGCGGAGGTGCCGTTTGGGGTCACGCTAAGGCCAGGTCGGCGTGTGGACGGTTCTGCTGGTTTGATTTCAGTAAGTTCGAAAGCAAAAGGACCGGCGGCTGCGGGCCCCGCGGGCCGAGGGGTGCGCCTCCCCGAGACGACGCCGGAGCTGGGGGAACCGATCCCGGGCGCGGGGGGCGGCGTGTGTCCCGGTTCTCACGGGCCTGCGCCGGGAGCGCGCGTCTTCGGGCGCCCCGGCGTCCCGCGTGGAGACACAGGCCACGGTCGCGCGGGGGGCGCGCTGAGGGTCGAAACAGAGGCAGAAAACGAGGCGTTTTAAAAAGAAATTACTAGCACGACGGTCCACGAGCGTGACCAGCCGTGCGAGGTTTTCAACCACCCGGGGCTGTGCCGGAGGGAGCCTCGGGCGCGCTCTCGGGGCGGCGGGAGCGAGGCGGAGCGGACAGAGACCGACGTGGCGCCCGGGAGAGTCTCGGAGCAGGGGAGGCGCGGCGCGGGGCAGGCGCGGGGAAAAGGGGGTGCGGGGGCAGCTCGGGCCTGGGAGAAGAGAGGCGGGCAGGGAAGCGCGAGGGGAGCCCCCGCCAAGCCTTTCCTGGGGGGGGGAAAGAAAAGAGACGGCCCGGGGGACCCCGACGGAGCGGCCTGGGCTTCGGCCGGCCGGAGAGTTTCTCCAGCGCCCCCTCCCTTCCCGGTCCCCCCCCCCGCCGGCCCCCGGCCCGGCCCGGCCCGGCCCGGCCCCGCGCGTCCCGAGGCCCAGCTCGCCCCGGGCCCAGCCCGCAGGAGCGCGGCCCAATGGCCGCGCCGGGCCCGCCCCTCGCGCGCTGATTGGCCGCCGCCGCGCGGGCCTCGCCTTATTAGCAAGTTCTCCGGGGCGCCGCGGCCCGACCCGGAGCCGGCTCGTGCGCCCGGGACCTCGGCCTGCGCCGCGGCGCCGCGAACCGCCGAGCCAGGCCCGGAGCGCCGCAGCGGGCCTTCTGGGGAGGGCGGCAGGCGCGCGCGGGAGGGCCCGGCCGGCCAGGGCCCCGGCGCCCCAGAGGCCCGCGGCGCTCCGAGCCCGCGCGAAGCCCATGCGCGGCGGCTGGCCCGAGCCGCGGCTGGAGGGGGGCCCGGCTCTGCATGGCCCCGGCTGCTGACATGACTTCTTTGCCACTCGGTGTCAAAGTGGAGGACTCCGCCTTCGGCCAGGCGGCGGGGGGGGGCGGGGGCCCGAACCCCAGTGCCACCGCGGCCACCGCGGCCGCCATGGGCGCGGACGAAGAGGGGGCCAAGCCCAAAGTGTCCCCTTCACTCCTGCCTTTCAGCGTGGAGGCGCTCATGGCCGACCACAGGAAGCCCGGGGCCAAGGAGAGCGCCCCGGCGGCCCCCGAGGGCGCCCCGGCCGTGGGCGGCTCGGCGCAGACCCTGGGGCCCCGGCCGGGGTCGCTGGGCGCCCCGGACGCGCCCCCTCGCCGCGGCCGCTCGGCCATTTCTCGGTGGGAGGACTCCTCAAGCTGCCGGAAGATGCGCTCGTCAAAGCCGAGAGCCCCGAGAAGGCCGAGAGGACCCCCTGGATGCAGAACCCCCGCTTCTCCCCGCCCCCTGCCAGTGAGTAGCCCGAGCCCAAGCGGCGGGGGAGGGGCCGGGGGCGCGGAACCGGGGGCGCCAGGCCGCGCGCCGGCGCCGGCTGGTCCCTGGCGCCCGCGTACCTGCCGCGGGTACCTGCCGCGGGTGCTGGGGCTCCTTTGGCGGGAGCCCGGGGTTCGCGCCACCCCCCCGCTCCCACCCAGGAAAGAGGGTGAGGCCTGGCCGCGGCCCTGGGCCAGGCGGCGCTGCGGGTGGGAGGTCACTCGTCGGACTAGGGTCGGGGTGCCCTGGCCTCCAGACTCTGCCACACCGCCCGACCCCAGGAGTCCGGGTTTCCTCGTCTGACCCCCAGCCTGCAACACGCGCCCTGCCCCGGCCTGTGGGTGCAGGGGCGCGGGCGTCTTCCCGGCGCGCGGAGTTTCACTTTCTCGGGGTGGAAGTGCGGCCCCCCTCGCCCCTTTAAAGTCCCTTTGCCCAGAGGTTCTGAGGGTCTCGCCAAGGCCCCTCCCCTTTCACGTTCCAGGCAGATCCTGGGTGCCCCGCGCAGGGATCGCTTAGGGGGTGGGGGCGCTCCGCTTCCAGGGGAGGGGGCGGGGCACCGAGTCAATCTGTGGGAGGCGCCCCCTCCCATCTGGTCCCCAGTGGCCAGTCCTCTGCGCCCGGGCCGGGGAAGCGGGCTCCAGCCTCCCAAGGCGCCTTCGGGGTCGCTGCGAGGCCCGCGCGCCCCTGGCTCCCCTGCCCGGCGAGGGCGCGCGGAGATATTTCGGGAGCACGGGAAATTCCAAGTTTTCCTCGTTTCCTCCGATTATTTTGCGCGACATAATAGCAGCCCGAATTCAATGGCGTGATGCTGAGGAATGATTTTTATCTGGGGATTAAGCGTCTTTGAAAGACCGGCCCCTCCCTGCGCCTGAAGCCTGGCGAGGGGCCCCCGCGTGGCCTGTGGCCGCCCGAGGGAGCGAGCTGGGCCCGGGCGCCCGCCCCGCGCGCTCGGCGGAGAGCGAGTCCGGCCCCACAGCTCCCGACCCCGGGCGGCTCCGGCGGGGACGCAGGGGGTGCGAGCGCGGGGTTTCGCTTGACTCACATCCTGGTGGTCTGGAAGCCCAAGGGCTTTGTTTATAAGCATGAAAAAAAATGCATAATTGGGTGAAACCCGCGTGGTGAAACATTCTGCTTTTGAATTCATTTTCCTTCCGAGGAAGCGGCTGTGTAGGCAAAACCGTCCTTCTCCCGGCTTGGGGATTTGGTTAGGGCCTCAGTCTGACCCCCAAATCCTGGAACTATCCATGGGGAACAATCTGACCCACGTTGTGTGGGCGTCGCAGCCTGGTGTGGCAGGGGTGCAGTCACCCCACGGGCCCAGTCTTGGAGCCGCCAGCGCCTTCTGCCCGGTGACAGCGCAGCGCGGGTCCTGGCGGCGGGTTTGGAAGCTGCTGGAGAAAGGCTGCGGGCTGGGATCCCTGCAGACTGAGCCACAGGCGGGGCAGTGGTCCTGTGTCCCTACACAGGCGCAGACACACCGTGTGAGCGCCACCGGAGAGTGAACACACTGGGGGTGGAGAGCCCCAGAGACCACTGAACCCTTCAGAAGAAGGCGCCACCCCCATGGCACGTAGAACATTGGGGAGACGCCATGGTGACAGGGCTGCTCGGGCAAGCTCTTCAGGGCCCTCCTGGGGACCTGCAGGGACTGCCTGTTCCGAGGGCAGGATGGAGTTTGAATTCTTGGCCACACAAAGGCCTAAGCTAAGTGCAGAGCGCTTGGTGGACACGTCAGAGTTTGGCTGAGGCGTAAAACTACGCCTTGAAGTATTTAAGGCATAAAACTCAACTGGCCTGGAGCTGGGTGCCGGGCCCCAGTCTGCGGGTTTGCTCCATCATCCCTATGAACACCCCCGCGGGCGGGGAGGGAGCAGGCCTCGCCAAGCGCCTTCTAGGGCAACAGCGCCCCGCCTTTTCCAGTTATGTTGGGACCCTGAATGAGGGCGCGTTTCACCTGGAATCTTAGTTTCCTCCTTTGCAAAAAGCAGGCAAGAACAGCCACCCCGCGGGACTGCGCGGGCCTGGGGGAGTTTCGGGCCTTGCAGGGCGCCCGGGGAGGCTCGGCGCGATGGCGGGGCTGCTGGGGGCTGTCTCCGCCACTCCCTGGGCGCCTCAGGCACCCCTGCCGCTCCCTTAACGGCTTGCCTCTCTCCCTCGCCCCCAGGGCGGCTGAGCCCCCCGGCCTGCACCCTGCGCAAGCACAAGACCAACCGCAAGCCGCGGACGCCCTTCACCACGGCGCAGCTGCTGGCGCTGGAGCGCAAGTTCCGCCAGAAGCAGTACCTGTCCATCGCCGAGCGCGCCGAGTTCTCCAGCTCGCTCAGCCTCACCGAGACGCAGGTGAAGATCTGGTTCCAGAACCGCCGCGCCAAGGCCAAGAGACTGCAGGAGGCGGAGCTGGAGAAGCTGAAGATGGCCGCGAAGCCCATGCTGCCGCCCGCGGCCTTCGGCCTCTCCTTCCCCCTCGGCGGGCCCGCGGCCGTCGCGGCCGCGGCCGGGGCCTCCATCTACGGCGCCTCCGGCCCCTTCCAGCGGGCCGCGCTGCCCGTGGCGCCCGTGGGACTCTACACAGCCCACGTCGGCTACAGCATGTACCACCTGACATAGAGGCCCGGCCCGGCCGCCGCCCGCCGGCTGACCCTCCACCCGGCTTCTGCCAGCCCAGGAGTCAGGCCGCGCCCCTGTCCGAGCCGCCTGGCTGCTCCCTCCACCCCACACAGCTCGGTTCCTGCTCCGTTGCCCCCAGAGGTCACTCTCGGAAGACTGTTCCCCTCCCAAAGAGTGGCCGGCGGCTCCCTTAGCATCTTCTAGAAGCTAGCTCTGCCCCTCCTGGGACGGGGCCGCGGCGGCCCCAGAGGGTAAGAAGTTGCTGCAAGGCCCCCGCAGAGTGAGTGGTCCCCGGGACTAGAGGCCACTTCTGCCCCGCGGCGCGGCCGGCTCCTGGCCTGACCCCAGGCAGCCCCGGACGTCCATGGAGGCGCCTTGGGAACCTGAACAGTCAGAGAAGAGCAGCCAGGGGGACGCCCTGCTGCCCGGGACTTAGGGAACTTCGGGGTTTGCCTGGGGGTGAGGGTGGGGCTGCGCGGATGAGCTGCAGGTAGGTGGAGCGGCGGCTCGGACCAGTCCCGGGAAGAATTGTAAAATAAAATTTAAAAATCCTCTTTCTATTTAACAGTACATTTGCGTGGCTCTCAAGAGTCCCTTTGGAAGGGATTGCGTGTAATATACTGTATATTTGAAATTTTATTATCATTTATATTATAGCTATATTTGTTAAATAAATTAATTTTAAGCTACAAGACATGATCTCATCACTGAGTTCACTTTCGCTTTAGTTTTGCTTTTGGGCATCTCTTCACACAGGCCATGAATTTTCAACTTGAGTTTATTCGCAGCAACTTCTAGAGGTGGCCACAGATATTTGGATACAGAGAGGGGGTCGGGGGTGCCTTTTTGAACAAGCTGGACAGATCTGTGTTAGCAAAGTCAAGTGGAGAATTGAAGCAATTACCTGGGATAATTAGGCTCCATTTTCCAATTCGCTGTAAGCTGAAATGGACACTTGCTCTGGCGCCCTCATAACCGACTCCTGCTTTTTTCTCTCCTTTTTAACCTGTCTATGAAAACAAAGCGACTCACCCAAATGGTTTGATGACTGCAGACAGCTAATCCAGACAATTCCCACCCCCAAAACCTGTTTTTCCCACAGGAGCCAGGTGGGGGGTGGAGGTCTGCTTTGCTCCTCCGAGTAGCTGCACCAGTGTAGACGCGGCCGGCCTGTGGGACACGTTTCCAGGTGCCGGAATGTGATCGACGTCACCCCCCATGTCCTGACTGCTTGAAAAAGAAAAACACGAAACTTTTCTGAAAACCCAGAACCGCCCTACACCTCCAGCCTCGGTGCGCCCTTTGCAGGCGCTCTGCCTCCAAACTCTCACAGACCTGCTTTTTCTTTTATGTAGTAGGTTAAACTACAGTTTCCAGGAGAAAATGATTGAACAAGCGCCAAGTTTAGCCTTCCGGGGGAGCTCTGCTAGGACACTGGAGGCAGAAAATCACCTCCTAGGAAAAAAAAAAAAGCCTCGGAGGGTCCGGGCACTGCCCTGTTCTTCCAGGGAGTCCTGGCTTCTCGCCCGACAGTGTAACCTCTCCCCAACCCAGGCTGGGGAGTCCAGACTCCAGGAGGTATCCCCGGGAGGCCAAGTCTTTCAGAGGGGAAGTCAGCAGTGGGATGTGGGGGGAGGGGGGTTTCCACAGGGACCTTCCTGCTACGTGGAACTCCAGGCCGGGGCGCAGCTGTGCGGCTTCTAGCCAGGGGCTCGGAGGGAGATTGACCCAAGAATCCAGGAGAGCCAGGGTTGTGCACACACCCTGTGGTGGTGGTGGTGGGGGTGCCTTGAGATGGTGCTGGCAAGGTCGGAGGTACCCGGAGGCTTGGATCCTCCCTCCTGGGTAAGCACCCCCAGAGGTTTCCTCCTGGCGGCAGGGGCTGCATCTGAACGCAACAGCTCCCTGAGAAGAAAGCGAAATTGCTGGGGAGTGCAGTTCCTCTGCAGCAGGCCATCTCGGGGAGCCCCTGGCCCCTGGGCTTTTAGACATTAGTCAGAATAAGCTGAGCCTCGGCCCCCAGGAAAGAGGAGTTCACCATAAAAAGACCTCGACCTTAGGCAGCCACGGACCCTTGAGAAGCACTTGAGGACTGAAATGCACCCTGCTTCCTGCAGATGCACAGGGATTTGGAATCCTCTCCCCCATGAAGTCAACCGATGGCGGACACCCTGGTTCCTACAGATTTTTCTGGGTGTCTTTCGGGGAGGGGACATCCCTGGCACTGGCCTCTCTCCGGTCGAGGGACAGTACTGCACTGGGAGTCAGACCTGCCGCTGCCACTGACCCCTGCCCGGTGCGTGGGGAGGTGGCTCCAGCTGTGCTCCAGCTGCGCTCCAGGGGCCTCGGGTTTCCCATCAGTGAAAGGGGCCTGGGAATCCCTCCCTGCCCCAGGATCTGGGGACGTGTAAAAAGCCCCCGCTCACTGAGAATCCCCCAATACCGGTGGGCCTTTATTTCCTCAGCGTCCTGGTCATCCTCGCTAGCCCGGCACCGGGAGTGGCCGGGCGGATCCGGTGTCTACCTCGGCCCGGGCTCCGGGCCTCCTGGCTCCTCCAACCTCGACAATTTAGGGTCGACGCAAACTTAGAGCAACATAATTGCAGTAATGAGCAACTGCTCGCGCCCTGCAGACGCGCGCCGGCTCCAGCGAGGCGGTAGCTGCGGGCGAGGCGGGCGCACCCCTGCCCCCACCCAGCGCCTCGGCCGGTGGAGGGGCCTCCGCCCCTGGACGCCCCTCCTGCCCGGCCCTGCACCGGCCTCCGCCTCCCTTCGCCGCCCTGGGGCCCGCGTTTCTTCCCACTGCCGTGGCCCCTGGTTTTCCCATGTTTGTTTCTTTTCATCCCATCCTTTCGTTGCCCCCTTTTTGGTTTCTGACTCTCGCCCCCTTTCTGCGCGTGCACCCAGAAGGCGCCCGACGAGCGGGTGCTGGCTCGGAGCGGCGCGCGCGGTTGCGGGGTGAGGCCCTGGGCCACCCGCCCTCGGCCGGGCGGCGGGAGTTCGCAGCCGGCTCCCGGCGCTGCTTCTCGGCCGCGCAGTCCTTCAGGCGGCTGCTCCGTTTATCAAGCGAGGGCAGAGGGAGCGCGGGCGTCCCGGGCCTGGCCCTTTGCTCATCAGTTTCCACCGCGGGCTGGAAAGGCCGGATCGATGACCCGGGGTCACCACCTTCGGCGCCAGGAGGTTGCGCTGCAGGTGGGCCCGCGCGAGCAGCCTACTGTGTGCTGCGGGGCCGCCCTCGCGCGCCTGCACGCCCCAGCCCGCAACCCCAGCCCTTCCTACAAGGGCCAGCACTTCGGTCCAGGGAGGTGGCGCGGCTCCCCCGGCGCCGCACAGGCAGTGTGGGGCAGAGCGGGGATTCGAACCCCGACTGGGCTGGGCACCCGCGCGCGGCCCGCGCCGCCCGCTCCCCTCGCTGAGGGTCACGCGCTCCTGGAAAGACTGTTGAGGACTGGAAAGGCCGCGGAGGCGCGCCTGGGGTCGGAAAGCAGGTCCAGGGGACCGGCCCCAGCCTGCGCTGTGAGTTTAACTCCTTGGCGCCCTGACGGCGAGCGCGCGTCCTCCCCGGTGGGACGAGGGGCCAGTCACCTGCCCTGCGGTCTCTGAAGACGTTTTCGTTTTGCTGGGGCTGGGACGGCCACCTCGAGCCTCTGGCCTGGAAGCGGCGCGCGGGGGGGGGGGGGACCCGCAGGACCCGGCTGACCCGACGGCAGGGCGCGGGGGCGCTCGGGGTCCGGCCGCAGGTCGGCGGGGCGGGGCGCGCTGGCGCGGGGGGCTGGGCGGGGCTGGAGGCGCGCGGGAGAGCCCCAGTTTCAGGCTCTTCCCTACATCCGCTGACCCGGGCTGCGGGGTCCGGGCCGTGCAGGGGCGCGGGAAGGGCGGGTACTCCCCGGCCGGGGGCGCGGCGGGGCGGCGGGGGGCGGTGTGAGCGCGCATCCCCCGCTGCGAGCCCGGCCGCCTTCGCCTCCGCACGACCCCCCCCCCTTAGTGACCTGAGGCTCGGAGGTGACCCGGCGGGGCTCCCGGCCTGCACCCCGCGCGGAGCCCTCGGGGGCGCAATGGGAAGCGGAGAGGAGAGGCCGCGGCCGCCTTTCAACTTGGCGGCTGGCGCCGGCCTGGCCAGGCCCCCGGGGCCCTGCGGCCTCCCCGGCTCTGCCCCCGCCCTCCCAGCCGCTCGCGCCCGGCGGGGCCCGGACACTCCCCAGCCGGCTGCGCCGCCGCCCCTGGGAGCACCTCACCGGCCCCCTCCCGCAGGAGCCCCCGCGCCGGGCACCTCGGAGTCCGCGCTCCGAAAGTCGGGGTTTCCTCCGCCCCGCGCGACGCCTCCCGCCCCCTCCCGGGCCGCCTGGGACGACCCCCAGTCTCGGGGCGGCTCCCCGCAGCGCCCTCCGGCGGCGGCCCCCGGCTCTGGGCGCCCCGCCGGCCGCGGAGGCTCCTTGCGCGCCAGGGGACACGGCCGCGCACACGCAGCCACCAACGTGCACAGCAGACACACAACTCACACAACGCCACAGATGTGCAAGCAGCACATGCACAACCAGCGCACAGGCGACCCACACGCACCTCCCACGGAACAGCGCAACGCCCAGGGCGCAGTGCACACCCCGCGCTCGCACCCCCGGGTGCACACGCTGAGCAATGCCTCCCAAACACGGACAGCCACGCGTGCACACACACCACACCAATGCCCGGCCCCACACAACCAACACGTTGTGTGCTCTACACACAAAACCCACACACAGACCCAACCGAGCACAAACCAGCACAGCCCAACACCCACCATCAGCACACACACCCCGGCACACACACCCCGGCACACACACACCACAGCACACACACCCCGGCACACACACCCCAGCACACCCCAGCCCACACACCCCGGCACACACACCCTGGCACACACACCCCAGCACACACACTCCGTCTGTCAAGCAAGCACACCCAGGAGGCCACCCTCCACCGTCCCTGCGGGGTCTGTCGCCTGGGAGTGGGTGACACTGATA